ATTTACATGCATTTTTTTCATAGTGTATAACCATTATTAAAAATGTGTTTACATTTTCATGAATAGAGCATATAATTCGTTTTTGTGTCCAGCTTGTGGAACCTTTCTTCTCTGGTTTTTTACCTTTTAAGTCTTGTGACGTCCTGTCATGTGATTAAAAGGAACCACAAAGCTTTTATTTGTGGTTCTCAGGTTAATGTTCCTCTCATTTCTCACTGAGATCCTGCTCTGAGATGATGTCAGAGACACTTTGAGGCTCTTCCGTTGCCAGGTTTTGTCCCCGTCTCTGTGTTGGATTACGTTTTCCAGTGAGCGCAGAGGCCGGTAACCCGAGACCCTGTGGACAGACCTACATTAGGCCCGGCAGGGTGTCGTCTTCTCTGCCAGAACGTGGGGTAATCCCAGGTGATTGTAGACTCGCAGCTCCAGCTCGAAGCCCAGTGGTTGAGCATGTTGTCCATCACAGATGTGATGCTGATCCTGTACCAGGGAAAAAGCATGAAACTGTGAAGCTGGAACGTTTTCTTGGTGTCACTGGTGAGGCGGACACAGAATCTACTTTTTGAGCAGACAGTCTCATTTTGGAGGATTTACTCCAAGAAGAGAAACCCATGCCTGCCCACTGAGGCTGTGGGATCTGTTTGGACCACAGTTGGGATAAATTGAAGTTTTCTGCAATTATGCCGTCATTTTGTGGTAACGTGAGGAGGGGTATCCTGAGGAGATACAGGCAGGTGCCTCGAACCGAGGCTGACGGAGCCTTCAGCTACAACCGCTCCTCAAACAGACGAGGCCTCGTGAGCTCCGGTAGGTCAAACTCGACCCCACGTTTGTTTTTTTTCTATTTAACCAACATTTCAAACTCTTCTGTTTAAAAAGTTTAATGATCATTAAACTTTTCTGAAGTAAAGAAAAATAAAGTACTAAACTAGACGAGAAGGACAAACGCGACGCTTCAGTTCAGTATAAAATTTTAATCACAGTCTGGTTGGTTTCTCATTAAAATGAGACACAGATATGAGACTCAATGTGACAAACGAGCAGAAAATCTCCGAGCAACAGTTTCAGAAATCTGAGTTTATCGTGCTTACCTCTGCAGCTCTGTGATCCTCCTGCTTTAGCTTCTTATTTTCACTTCACATAAAAATGCAAACCATAATATTTGATTAATCAAACACGTGCAGCTCGTGCTGGGCTGGATATCAACCAAGAAAAATGATGTTAGTACTCAGGTGTTGCTCGGGGGCAAAGCAACTGTCTGATGACAAATCTCTACCCAACATGCAACTGTGATTAAAGCACGTGCTACAAACTATTTAGACCCACTGCAGACAGAAGTGGATTCAGACGTTTAGTGGCGATTCATGCTTCGCTGCATGACTCCAGCGGTTTGTCAGGACGTGTTAACCAACGTCCGCCCGCCTTTGTGTTCGTCGCTGCAGGATGATGGATTCCATCCTCTGTAATGGCCTCTCCTCAGCCCGCTCACTTTGTTGTGCGTGTTTGTAATTTATTTGTGTGTTTGAACGACCACCACGGTCTCTCCGTCTGAAGCCCGCAGCAGTCGCGCAGCCTTCTCTGCAGCGCAATGCTTGAATTGATGCATCGCCTCTATTACGGCGCTGAAGTCACGATGCTCGAAACCAGAATTAGTTTTAATGTAATTTAAAGCTGCTGTCGTTCATTTTCTGCTGTTGGTGCCTCCATACAAGACGAGCTGAGCGCGGCTGAAGGCGGTCCAGGAAACGCAGTGAGATGGTAAACTGATCAAAAAAGGATCGGAGCTCAAAATACAAGGCGAAGAGGACCGAATGTTAAAGGAAGCATTAGAGCTGTCAAGAGACAGACGGCTTGGCAAAGAGGAAGCTGAACACCGGAGCCCAGGTGCACTCGATTAGTCCAAAATTTGACCTCTGCCTCCTTTTCCTTGACCTCAGTGTAGTCAGGAGGTAGAGGAATACCGATGGTGCTCAGAGAATCTGACAGAACGATACTTCACTCAGTTAGGAACCTTCCTCAGTGAAACTGACTTTTTAAATACACCCCTGAAGGTCCCTGAGGGCGGAGCTAGCGGGATTATATGATAACTGCACATGTCCCTTGAGCCTCTCTTTAAACTAGTCCTTTAAAGGCGGATGCATTTTCACCCTGAGCTGCTGCGGACGCTGGAATGAGAGGCGAGTTAACAAGGATGGAAACAGAAAGCTGTCACACCACCTCCCCCCTCTGCAGCGCCGTGTTTGGCCCGATCCATCTGCTGTCCCCGAACGCCTCGCGCAGGAGGAGCCGCGGCCTCCCAGGTGTTTCCACTTCATCCTCAACGTCTGCAAACACACAAACACACACGCTGTGTCTCTGCAAGAGCCCAGCATGTGCGCATTTACATTCATGCGTCTTCACCTTTTCAAGTGTAAAGGCTGTAAATAAGCCGTGTCTAAGATGACTGCAGCGAGAGGCACAAACGCGATGTTTAATCTGAAGAAGCTTCTGATTCTACTCATTCTAGAGGCCTAACTGTTGATGTGCAACACTGTGATGGACATGAAAGTCGTGTCAGCTGACGGTCACAATAACGAGGCCAAAACTTTGGTTAAGACATGAAAACGAAGATTTAAATCAGAATTAGCAAAGCAGGGACGTGCACACGCTCATGGCTGTGAACAACGTGACTTTGTCAGAGTCTCTGTGTCGCGCTTACAGGTGTAGAGCGTCAGAGCTGAATTCCATTAAAGCCGACGAGTTGCACTAACAGACGGCCGCTCCCCCCGCCGCCCTAATGTGGCAGGCAATTGTAGGATCTGTAATGAACGCTTTAAAGTGGCGGCAGGTTGTTGATACAAGCCTTAATGAAGTTGGTAATCTGCAGGCTCCCCCGAGGACTGCTCTCTGGAGGTGTTGCGGTCACCTTCCATCTTATGAAGGGTGTCAGCAGCAGGGGCTCCTGGGAAATGATGTCCCAGGCCTGATCCCTGAAGTTAGTGTTCTGAGTCTGAGGAGGGAAGCGGAGGAATATGGAGAAAGTAGCATTTCTGCTTTTGTTTCCCATAATCTGCCTTTAAATGTTGGTATTCAGTGTAACAACTGAAAATAAAATAAATAAAAAATGTTGGTATTTAGTCAATAAATGGATTAGAAACATCTTGGCAAAGTGTTATCCTGATGACACACCCACACCGCCACATCTGTCTCTCCGTCAGTCTGTGGAAACTTCTCCTTTTCAGGTTTTATCCATCCATCCATTCGCTTCCGCTTCTCCTTTTCAGGGTCGCGGGGGGCGCTGGAGCCTATCCCAGCTGTCATAGGGCGAGAGGCAGGGTACACCCTGGACAGGTCGCCAGTCTGTCGCAGGGCTAACACACAGGGACAGACAACCATTCACACTCACATTCACTCGCACATTCACACCTAGTGGCAATTTGGATTTTCCAATTAACCTATCCCCACAAGCTGCATGTCTTTGGACGGTGGGAGGAAGCCGGAGTACCTGGAGGGAACCCACGCAAACACGGGGAGAACATGCAAACTCCACACAGAAAGGCCCCGGCCTGATGGTGGAATTTTTGCGTTGGTGCAGATGTTTTTGGAGCTGGATCTTCTGATGGTTGTGAGCCAGCTGCCCGCTCAAAGCATCGAGCTTGATTGATTTTTAAGAAATATCAATAAATGACGCCCGGCTTCATAAGCCGTTTAAATGTTTCTTTGCAGCTGGTGGATTTAAATTAAATTCTGGGAAGTGTTATTTGGTGTTTTGGACGATCATGTTTGGAGGATTTCTCTCCTTTCTTCTGATTCTCTGCGTTTGGATTCAGCTTGAGCCAAATTTACATGCTGTTAATTCCTTAATTGATTTTTGGTGGTTTCCAATAGTTTTTCAAATTTAGTCTGAAGTAAAAAAAAAACAACAACTACTCCTGCTTAGTCTCTCAGAACTAAGGTCAAGGTCTAAATTGTTATATTTGTATTATTTTAACACAATGTTACAGAACTGCTAAACATTTTTACTGCTTCCATAAACACCTTGCATTTATTAAACCTTTACAAATGCAGTGCTGTGTGAAACTCTTAAGCCAGCACTTCTGTGGTGAAAAATGTCCAAATCAGAACTCTGGAGCCTCAAAGTTTGGGGAACTGCTGCTCTCAACCATTTGATCATTTCCAGGAAGGAAACAAAGCATAAAGAATGAGTGGTGGCTCGAGTGTGCACAGTGCTGTTGTCCTTCTCATTTCAGATGTTTAGAGTTGCTTCCCCTCGTACTAATGTTTTGCCTCATTGATCGACTGTCAGGGCAGCGCGGCGCTGCCGTGACCCCTCGGCTGTGGTCTGCTGCTCCTCTGAATGCAGAAACGCTGACATTTCACTGATGACACTTTGCACTGACGGTCGAGGTCATCAGTCAGGAAGAGCGTTCACAACTCTGTGTGCACGTGAAGTTTGAGACCTGTCGGGACAGAAAGATGATAATGTTTCATGTTGCATTAGCCCCACGTTAGGGGAATTACTGGATAATGTTAGGAAAGGACAAATTCTCACCTTGGATTTAACTGCTTAGAAAGAAATGGCCATAAAGTACGCAGTAGTTGAACACTGCATGAACTCGCATGAGTCAGATGCCCCTCGTGAGGACTTCTTCGCCGCCGATCCCCAACTCTGATGACTCATCACTTTCGTATTGACTCCCGGCCTGCTGCTTGTAATGCTAATTCATGTTGGTCAATACGAGGTGACCTATCAGAGCGAGCTCCTGACTCCAGAGTAAGTTTGGATTGTCTCAGGCGCTCGCCCATGAGTCACAGGAGGAAACGTGAATGTGTTTTACAGTCAGGTTCCATCGATCCGATTGAAAGCTCCACATTTCGTCCTTAGCTACTCTGACTTAAAAGGGTTACAAGCTCCATTTCTTGCCTCCAGTTTTCTGTTGTCTGTGAGGCATGAAGACAGCTGTAATTACAGAAAGTTGGAGGTCAGGCTTCACTGACGGCCATTTCTGTCTTTGTTGCAGGAGTTTGCGGCTGCTGTGGGCCACTGAGGCCGAGGTACAAACGCCTGGTGGACAACATCTTCCCTGAGGACCCCAAAGTAAGTACCTGCAAACACATTTACATGTTTGTTGTCTCCCCTATAGGACATTTAATCTAATCAAATGCACAAAGACTGGACCCAGGTGTGACGTGACCTCCGCTGCATAAAATCTACCATTAATGTGAAAATGTTTTACATCCAGATTAGTAAAGTATCAGATTTTTACCTTAACACAGCTGAAACAGCGCTCCTAAAGACCTTTACTAACACTAGTTTGTGCATTCATGTGTGAGGCCACGTGTCAGATTTGTTCTACTGATCCTTTATCTGTTGCTCTGGGGAAGCTGCGAGGGTTTCCCAACATCCTCCGCTGTGTTTTTATGGACTGAGAAGTTTGTGTCCTGCTGGCATTTGATCAGAAACGCTGTGGTACAAAAGACAAAGGAAGCAGAAAACCTTCAGACTGAGTCTGTTAGACAGAAGTCTGTAGCTTCCTCGGTGTGTTAGCGCTGCGTCTGCTGCCCGGGTCTTATCACACCGTTGGGATTGCTGTGGAGACCCGGCGACACGCCCACCGACGAGCTTCATCGACACAACACGGAGATAATTGGTCGACCGCAGAGCCACGCATGAACGCTTCAGACTTTGATAATTCTGCCAGTTAAATGTGACGTGGCTTTGATAACCAGACCACCACAAGTTGTTCTCACCTGTTTGGTTCTTTGACGCGTGTTAATTAAAACGCCACGTGTGTGTGTGGTTGGTCCGGCGCTCAGGGGAGGGATTTTTCTTTTTTTTTCGCGTCCTCCCCACACATCTTCTCAAGGACCTTTTGGTTTAAGCAAACATGTGCAGTGGGAAATCAAAATGCCTGAACGATCGAGACCTCGGCCAATTAATTATCTCTCACTGAGCGCCCGAGGGGTTGAAAGCACTCGGGGAACAGCCGGTCTCAAATTAACTCCCCCCTCTGGCCAGTCAGTACATACAGTATGTATACGTGTTGACTACAGTACAGCATTGAAGTCCTGAGGTTGAGCACTCTGATAGAGAAGAATCTGAATCCCTACACCGGAACGAGCTCTCGTTAGTTTTAACGAGGCAGAAATGGACCCCGAGTGAAGAGAGGGCCGTGAATACGCTGCAGTAATTGGACTTCAGTATGAATAATTTCTGATAATGTGCAGTTTCAGTCTCTATAATGTTTCTGAGCACTGATCTGTGGTGCTCATTCGTTTGCATCCATGTCAGGGAAGCCAAATTAAACACACTCACAGTCCACTGGTTTTAATGTCAGTGCCACAAAATGAAGTTTAGGAAGTTAAAAGAAGGATTCAGATGACTTTGATCAACTGAAAGAGTCTGACTGGAACAGACTGATTTTTGCCGTTCGATGAACCTGCTGATAAGTGTTCGTTTTTTGTTCTTACAATGAGAAATTGAGATCATGGGTACGAGAGCTGGAAATGAGCTGGGTCCAGCTTTAGAGATGCAGGGTGAGGAGCTCAGAGCGGAGAACGTGCTGGAGAGATGATGTCTCCTGGCTGGCTTCTGAACGCCTCGGTCCTGCAAGAGCTGGAGGAGATAGCTGGGAATACCAGATACATGTTCAAGTTTTTAAATTCTTCATCTTTACATCTGATAGAATTCAATCCAACCTTTTTGATCGCCACATCGAGTCCAAGAGTTTTTAGTATTGTAAGAATATTCTTATTACTTTATTATAGTACCGCAGAAAATCTGTATCATTGATGAGCGATGGCACTGAACACTGAAAAGCAAAATAGAATCAAAGTGATGTCGTCGAGCTTCGTGTTTCGTCCGATCAGCAAAATTCAAACATATTCAGCACAGAGTGCTGTGATGTCTTAAAAGGCACTGAGTTTATTTTCAATCATACGGGAAGATTGTGATGTGTTTTTAGTTAAAACTGCACTGATTTATCATTTGTGTTACGGCTCTGCTTTGGTATCGCCCTGCTTCATGTGCACGCATGAAAGCCAAGTGGACAGGACAGCATCAGTGACAACAGATAAACTCTTTTAAAAGAAGACGTGGGTTGCAAAGTGGCTTGCAGAGGCAGTAGTGGCTGTATGCAGGCTGAAGCAGCTTATGTTTTAAGTGGACAGGTTCTTATGTAACTCTTTTCTACTCTGCTTGAGCACTCAAAGCATTTTATACAACACGTATCCTTCACCCAGTTTCACATATTTGCACAAGCACTTTTTTCTACGTCTAAATGTTTTTCCAACGTTCACGCTCTGAACGCTGCTGGAGTAACTCTGGGTTCAGGAAGCCTGCTCTACATGCGATGCTCTATATGACAAAGTGCATCATCTGATGCGTCAGTGAGTCAGTGTTGACAGAAGATGGTTTTAGAAGGCTTTGTTTAAATCCTCTGAATCCTGACGGCGTTGTTGTTTCCAGGATGGCCTCAGTAAGTCGGACATGGAGAAGCTCACCTTCTACGCCGTGTCGGCTCCAGAGAAACTGGACAGGATTGGAGCTTACCTGGCCGAGAAGCTGAGCAGAGACGTGGTGCGACATCGCTACGCGTGAGTGGTGTTTGACTTGTTAAGTCCCAAGCACCAGATAAATGTGTTTTATCCCGGAAAACCCTTCATCACCTCAAACAGCAAATGCTGTTAGCTTCAAATCATGATGCAGATTCAGTGAGACAGCAGGAGGAGAATAAGCTGCACAGTTCCTGTGAAACAGTGAGCTGCAAAGGAATTTGCCAAAAAAATACTGGAAATCTGGAAACGACAAGAGAAAAAATTCTGAGGGAAAAATACCTGAGAACGTAGTGCGACGTAGCAAAGACACGTAAGGATGCTGAAAAACAGGATGAAAGCAGTCGCAGTCAGCCCGAGGTTCAGAAATACTAGGTGACATTTAAAAACAGAAAGTGAAGGAGACTGTCCAGCCACCTGTCATTAAAACTCATCAGAAGAAGTGCAGTGACATTAAAAGTCTCGTCCACTTCCATTTCTGCTCTGGAAAGTAATTAAAACGAGCTGAGAGACGGAACAAAGAACCTCCCTGAAGTATTTCTGAAAGAAGACTGTCAGCACTGAATCGATACAACCATTATAAAGTCAGACTTTCTGTCTGAATGGGCTCTGATGTTGTTTCCTTGAGGCTGACGGTCAGAGAGCAGACGCGTCTACCTTCTGCACGGCATCCACGCACCCTTACCAGACCGCTGTTCACCCAGCAAGGCGACATGTTTGCATGCTCGGGTCTGTAACGTCAGCCTTCTCCTTCCAGGTGGAGCTGCTGTAAAGTTACATCATGCAATAATGTGCTCAGTACACAGACACTTTCAACCCGACAGTGACCCACTCTTTTTGTGTATTTTGATCGAAACACATCTGCTGCACCTGCATCTCTCGTCTCCACCCTTTGCTGCTTCTGTTTTTAAATAGAGAAGAGCCCCAAAAAACTGTTCAGTTAGCACATTAGGAGGTAGTGGGTTAGGCAAGGTCTGGGTGTCTCTGCTTAGACCTCTCCCCCTATGACATACATCTGGAGTAGTGTTTCTGTAAACGTGCAGGTGTTGAGAAGCTCCTGTGTCCTGAGTGTAAAGCTTATTGTGCAGGAATGTGGTGATAGCCATGGAGGCTCTGGACCAGCTGCTGATGGCGTGTCACTCTCAGAGCATCAAACCCTTCGTGGAGAGTTTCCTGCACATGGTGGCCAAGCTGCTGGAGTCTAGAGAGCCAGACCTGCAGGTGCTGGGAACCAACTCGGTAAGACGAAAACACAGAAACACACACTCGAAGCCTTTTTTCTAGATGAAGGGAAAGGAGGAGGAGAGCATGCAGAAATGTGTTGATAAAGACACTGTGAACTGCAACCTTAGTGAAGCCAATTGGTACAGCAGGTAATCCAGACTAATCTGTGGATTATGTAAAAGATGAATGTGTACAGATTACCTTTAAATGAATCCTTTACAGCATCGGAAACCAAAACATCGTTTCTCAGAGAACTTTGCTTCCACTTTCTTTCACTCTTTTAAAAAACGCCTCCCAGGTGTTGTGCTAGGTCCACATTCCACAAATGGTCTTACAAAGAAGAAGCGTTAGCATGTCAGGTGACGCACAGCCTGTTTTGCATAGATAGGACAGTTGGTGTGCCTTCATCATGCATGCCAGCAGCTTTTGAAGCTGCAGACGCTGCAGATGTTGGCTGGACAGAACTTCCCTTCACACGCTGTAAACTGCGTGCAATAAAAAGCTTCTGCTCTTCTCACTTTGAGCTTGATTTTACTTTTAATCTCAGGCGGATACTCTCTTAGCAGCAACCAGGATTTTATTGTTGACTCTGCTTTATTCATACTTCGTATGTTTCCCATCACAGACTAACCCACAATCCTCCAGATTAAAGCCACAACAACGTTTTTGACACACACAAAAAAATAAGGTCATAAATCAAAGCAGGTCAAATACGTCAGTGGTTGATGTCGGCACTTTAATAGCTCATTTCACTTCTCCTCTCACAGAGGAAATTGTCGTGTAACACATCCCGTGAAAGACTCTAATTATTATTAGCTTCTAAGCCGCCAGCAAATGTCAGCCCCATTTCTCCTTCTGTTTCTTCTGAAGGTGAACCCGAAGTTTTTCCCTTCATGCCGCCTCCTGTTCTGAGCCTGTCTGTCTCCATTGTTGGGGCTTCATCCGAGCAGGAAACCGAGCCCAAGGTTTAGATGTGAAAGCCTTTGCATTATTTATGTGTGGTATTTAGACTGACAGAAGAGAAGAGCAGTTAGCTGAATCGGGGGGCTGGAAGGTGCTCGCCGTCTTTAGGTGAGAGCCGTGTTAATTAAATTTTCCTTTACGGCGCCGGCTCCAAACGGAGACGTTTCGTTTAATGTCTCCGTTTGGTTTTGTGGCGCAGCTGAGCAAAACGGAGCTCCTTTGTTTGCTCTGTTGCCTAATTATCAGTTTAATGAGTTTGTTTGAGACGTCTGCAGAAAAGCACCAACACAGAGAGCTCAGCAAATTACAGCAATTTGGTCAAAAGACTGTTTGAAACCAGCCGGCCGGCCTCAGCGGAGCCTCAGCGGTGTCTAATTACTTTTAAACGTCACACTTTTAGTGCTTGTTGTTGCTGCTCAGCAACAAAACAGCTTTACAGTAGCTAAAGAACTTCATATCCTTCATGATACAAGCAAACAAGAGGAGGTTAACTCCTAGAGTCCTAGAGGTGCTTATGTTGAATGTCTGTGTTTTAAAGCATCAAAATAAACTGCTATGAATTTTTGTCCATGACACAGAGTCGTCGTGTTGAAGAGCAGAAGTCATTAACGACACGTTACAATTTAAAACGCCAGGACTGGAAAAAGACCACTTCTTTAGAGGAAATGCCCCCTGGTGGTGAAAGTTAGTTACATAAGTGTCTTTAATCCTTTCCTCCATAAAGATGACGTTTGACAACCTCCCCTGTTCCCGCAACCTGGTGAACCAAACATCTGGTTCCACGTGTTGCCAGGTCTGTTGTTTAAATACAGACATCTGTGGTATCCACACAAACATCAGAATCTCAGCTCAAAACTCACAAAAATCATTTCTCCGACCGCAAAACAGAACAAAAAACAATTATAAGGCAGGTAACGATGTAAACACAAACGCATTCTATCTTCCAAAACTTAACAGCGAGAAAACTGTGAACGACTCAACGCCTCAGAGTGCTTCAAGAGCAGCTTCCCATCGGACATCGACATTTTCTGGTGCCAAATTACAAAATGTCTTGCTATGTCTGTACTACAACCTCTGTAACTTTGCAGATGTTGATTCATTCCACATGTTGATTTGTGGTTTTCTGCAGTTTTTGGTCAATTGCAGCATATTTTCAAAGTACAAAAAGAAAAGAAAAGAATCTTTCTGTTCCATCCTCAGTTACTGTGACACAGTGGCATCTATTGTGATGCTTGTTTACCTTCATACTTCATACTCTTCATACCAAGATGGTTTACATGGAGTTTGTGATCGCAGACAAGCACTCGGTTCATGTTGGGCGCATCATTCTCGAGCAGGAACCACAGAAAGAGAGTTTTAATGAGTAGTTTGGACATGTCACTATATAGCTCAATAAAGACGCGGTTTGGAACGGATTCCAGGTTTTTCCAGGTGTAGCCCGAGTAAGTTGTATAGGCAGAGATCATCCACATTAACTTGTGACATCATCTTATTCTAGAAACACGCCTGAAATATAACAGAAATTGCTCAGTTCAGAAAAGAGAAACAGGGATTTCCTCTAGTAGGCATCCAAGGGGCAAAGGGTTAGATTTAAAGATAAAAGACGGGCGGGGATGATATCATATCAAAATAGATGGAGTGTTAGCTGCAGACCTCAGTTTTTTTCAAAGCCCCTCAAAAGCCAGCAAAACTGTTACTGTTACCAGCAATACTTGGAAAAGTAGTGAAGTTGGGCTCGTTGATACAATGACGACGACGGGAAGGAAGGCCGAAAATGGACCAAACTTCAGTCCAGACTATGTCTGAGATGATCCATCAACAGCTCGAGGTTGGTCACTGCTGTGTGATTTGGTTTAATCATTATGAAAAAAATCCCACATCCACACTGAAACCTTAGTGGGCACAAAAGCGTTTCTTCAACAAATCATTCAAATATCGGTCTTCGGGAGCTCAGGGCTGCTTTTAAAACCTTGTGTTAAAACAAGCTGGAGAAGCAAAGAATGATGACTGAGTAGCTTTTAAGGAACAGTCCGTTTTAGCTCCTCCCCCTTAGCTCTCCCTTGTAAACTGAAGGTGGGTGGGGCGTCCGTGCCTGATTGGCATATTAGGAATATCCACTCTTTATGACATCATGCAGAGCCAACAGTAGAAAAAAAAGTTGACCTTGCACTTTTGTACAAACGTGGGCCTCTTTATCTTCTGCTGTCTAATGTGAGCATCCAGCACTTGGCGAGGACATGTTTGTCAGACAATGAGGGAAAGCCCAATAAGTCCATTGCAAGTTAACTTTGGAAACATTCGGTTGACTAACGAGCCAAAACAAACCATCGTGGGGGGAGGTAGGTGATAAATCATCCTGTATATAAATAATACCAAAAAAGTTCCAATCAGTCTAACAGTGACATTTTCATTAAACCAAACAACATTTGTCACCTTTAATGTAATCATTTTCCTCCTACAGCCCCACTGGCTTTCCTATTTCTTACCGTGCCCAGTATAAATGTGTGTGACCGCTGTGTTCTGCTGCTGTCTGGCTGCCAGCCGTTCACGCTTTACAAATTCATCTCCCAGTTAACTTTATCACAAGAAATTGGCAAACTGTGACGGCTCGAAGTGGCGCTTCCTTCACTCCATCTCAATGGAAGAGGCGCTCATCAGTCCAGACTCAGACACCGAGTCAGACACACAGGGGAGTCCATGTGTCTGCGATCTATAACCTGTGGAGCCAGATGTGAGATAGATGCAGTCTACAGCTTTATCCCAAAACCCAATTTTCCATGTTTAGATTTGTGTACAGTTTATGGATAGCAGAAAGTTTTGGTCAAGTTCAAAAACTATGTAGGAATAAGATTATTTTTATTTTCATTTCTCCAAAGTTTGAAGCATTTTGACACCTTGATACCTCCGAGACGCTCCGTAATCAGAGTCAACGTCTCTGGTTTATCGAATTCCATCTGTTGCTTTTCACTGCGGCCTTTGTTGTCCTTCTCCTCTTGTGATTTCACACGTTGCAAGCACTTCGCAGATGGCCAGAGAAGTATGAGCTCCGCTTCTAACAGACGAGCCTTCGTTAGTCAACAGTACAGCCTTTGTTTCTTCCTCTGTCGGAGCCTTTAAGTGAAGCTCAGACCCCAATTTGGGGAAAAAACCAACAGATTTACAAAAGTTAGATTTGGAAAAAAAGAGATTTTTTTTTAGCAGATTAAAAGAAAAACTGCACATCATGCAACATGATGGGTGTAAAATACAGAAAAGTAACTTTACAGTGCAAATAACATCAAAATAAACATTTTAACGTTCAGTAACCGCCAGCTGATCGCACGGTGAACTCGATTTTTGATGAGTAAACTGTCCAACAGTTACCGGGGCGAGGAGTTCTCCATCATCATCATCAGCAGCTGAGTGAGGGCTCAGGAGGAAGCAGCCAGTTATGAATCTGTCTACAGCTCAAGACGTTCCCCCAAGTTGTCGTAAACTTCCTGTGAACTTTCTCGCGGGAATGATACCGAAATGTCACGTTTGATGAGGTTACAGGAAATTGAATTCTATCAGGAAGTACAACACCTGTAAACTGCTTCAGGCGCGCGATACATGAAAATGAGTCAGCCCTGTTATTACAGGTTATCATCACTTATAATCAGAGCCGCTGCCAAAGGGAATACACGCTAATAATTAGTTTAAGCTTCAGTATTCCACTTCCTGGCTTGAGTCGGCAAACATTCAGCCTCCTCCCACTCAGACTGTCAAGCTGACACTCCAGCAGGTTCACCAGTGAACTCTCAGCCCAGGCAATACCGAGAGGCATCTCAAAACAGCACATATTCAACAAAACGTGGAGCATTTTTAATGCCACAAAGGACTTCAGACTCCTTCCTGTGAAGTTTGAGCTTGTCTGAGATTTCTGTCATGGTTTTACAACAATGCAGTGTGCATAGTGTGTGGATATTACAGAGTATACCCAAACTAAAGCCCTTCAAGATGTCTTTGTGTGACGTGCAAATTCAAGTCGTGACCAAAGCTTCTCCTTCTACCTCCTAAACACGACTGTAATTGGTCTGTAAGTGCCTACAGCTTGAATTTGCTCTTCTGCAGCAGCACAGCAGTACAGTACCGTAATCTGCTGAGGGGAAGCCACTCTCCTGTGCGCCAGCTGCCGGCATAGCTCCTTCCATCTGAGCCATTACCCCCAGGAGAGGTTAGGTACAAAATGGGAGGAAATTACCGGTAGAACGGAGTGGTTTTTGCCACTGACGCTGAACTGTGCTGACGCAATTTGTCGTAGTGGACAATGACAGGTTGGTGAGAGAGGCTCCTCGAGCGCAGCCGACTGAGCCGGGAGGAGGAGGCCTCTCTGGAGGACACTTGAGGCTCGTTTGGAGGGAGAAGATTACAGGCTGGGCCGGGTGGGGGAGGTGGTTCTAATAGTTATTGTCATTGTCACACTGGCTCCAAAATTAATTAGTGTGCAGGAATGTGACGGTGCTTTGGCTCACAGGAAATGCTCTGACATGTTATCAGTGTTGTGATCGAGGGATTTTTTTTCTTTGTATCTGTTGTTGAGGTGAAAGGTCAAACATTCATCAGCTTCCTATTTTCAGGACTTCAGGTTCCTGCATAAATGGACAATATATAAAACATGGCTGTCCTGCATTGGTTAGTAAAGCCTGTACCTGAGTGTTTTTACGGTTGACAGGTTGGTGTTTTGAAACTGGATTAGATGGGCGTGGACTCATCAGCTGACGTGTGATTGGCTGATAATCTGTTAAACAAAAATGTATTTAATGTTGTTTAAAGTAAGAAACAACAGCTCGAGACTGTGAATTAATCAGGAAGTACTTACTGAGGTCACAGGGCCATTTCCCCCACAGACTTATTTAATTGTCTTTTTGCAAGCAGAGGAGGCTTCACTTTACAGGCCTGGAAGCTTTTTGAGAATATTTTTTTACTATAATTTGAAAGCCTCGAGGAGTGTACCATTCACTAATTATAATAATTATTATTTATGAATAGTACAGTTACTACTTTTCAGAATTTCACAGAGCCTGTGTTCACTGTGTTCACACAGAAAATTCAGGCTGATGAATGTTTGCTGATTCTTCCTCTGCTCTCTGCAGTTCGTGAAGTTTGCCAACATCGAGGAGGACACACCTTCCTACCATCGCCGCTACGATTTCTTTGTCTCTCAGTTCAGCGCCATGTGCCACTCTACTCACGAAGACCAAGAGACCAGAACCAGGTACAGTCCAAACTCAGACATTTCAAACAGACCCTCTAATGACAAGTATACTATATTTATATTTCAGGGTTTGTTTGTTTTTTTTAAGCAATAAACTACACAAAATGCTGGATTAAGCAACAATATACAGGTTAAAACTTCTATATGGAAACAAACTGAAATTTCTTTTAGAAAAATTGTCACAAGGTTCAGTGAACATTTCAAAAAGAGTTTTCTCATGGTTCAGGATTTACCCACAAAAACTCTGACTGCTACACAATATCAGGACATCCTCTAACTTTTTAGCAGGTTTTAATTTTGTTTTTATCTTCCTTTTAGTTTTATATCTTATGTGAAGTACTTTGTACTTTTTTCTGTGATAATGTGTTTTAGCTCTTTCTTTTTGACAGTGATAATGGGCTGGTTTAACTTTTCTGACCCTCTGCCATCAGCTTTTAGATTTATTTCATCTTCCCTTCACGGCATTGTTCGTGGAGTCCCACAGGGTTCAATTTTGGGCCTCCAGTTGTTCTTCAAAAACATGCATGCATTAGAAAAAATGGTTTAACTACTACAACTATAACAAATGTCATATAAAATTCCTTGTTTTCACCATGCATGGTGTGTGTGTTCATGTTTTAAGCTCTAATGGAGCCCAAAGGTTTGAGGAACTGCAGTTTTTTGCTTCCCGTGACTTCATTTTTCAACCCTGGAGGTTTCTCCTGGTTACTCCAAGTCATCAGGAAATGTTAATGACCCAGATTTATGTTTAACCAGATATTATTATAAGAACCTGTCGAAAAAGACGACCAGAGGACTCGAGTAAGGCTGCTGTTTATACCAAGAAGAACAAACACATTAGTTATGTCATGTTCTTTCTCTTTATTCTCACATCACATTTTAAAGACCTCCACAATAGTGCTGGGCGATATGACGATATATATCGTGTGGACGATAGAAAAGTGTCTATCGTGCCATTTGTCTTCTATCGTTTCTAACCTAATTTTATAAATTATTACATAAAATATATAATTAATCCTTTACAACCGGTCGGAGCAGGCACACTCCATTTTACCTAACTATTTTTAAATCCCTGTAGAACTGGAACCACGTAAGCTAGCGCAATATTTTTTTATGCATGTGAAACCATTGGAGTTGTACTTGCATCTAATGCCATTAGCTTGCCCTAGGTCACAGTTTCCTTCCACATATAGCTTTGCAAAAATTGCATAAGAAGCACTTGCAGCAACAAAAAGATAATATTCCAGAAACACACTTTGCTGATGTTCAATAACACTTCCTACGTTGGCATATACGCCAGCGCGAACTATCGCATGTCTGCCATTACCTGCCCGAAACCATAAGTGACGTCATTTTCGCGAAAGGGCCTTATAAGCCTATGTTGGTGTTTTTAAAAGTCATGTTTGACTTGGAAATAGTTTGTTTTGATGCATTATAATATTTTCATTTTTCCTGTAGTATATAAAAATTAGTGTATCTCAAAAACAAAACTATGAAGACACTCAAAATAAATTTCTCGTGGTTGGAAATTATTTTGTGCAACCTTTTTGTATTTACAGTTTTGAGGGATAAACCTCTTTAAAATTTTCTAACTAGAGATATATGTAAAAAAAAACCCAAAATGTTTTTCAATTTTTTTGTAGTTTATTGCACTACAATTTTTTGCAATTTATGTAGTTACTATGGACTTGATGCATACATATATTAAAATTTGGGCTATAACAGTTGTATTGATATATGGAAACTTGAAATGCTCCCACAAATGGCACTACAGCATGTAAAAACATAAAGATAAGCTCTAGCGGACTTGGTTCTATGGTAGGTCTTAAAGGGTTAAATAGCCTGTGGCAAATATATTAGTGTTGTCTTCTCACTATACATGCTCTTAACTTTATGCAAGAGAAAATAAAGTATAAAAAAATGATATTTTTTGCAAAGCAACTCCGTCTTGTGGTTTGCTAGCTGGTGCTGCTGTACGTGCACCCGGATTTGCGACATACTTTACGGTAACTCAAAACAAAGACTGCACCCTCGGCACTTGCTGTTTACAGACTGCGTACTTTCTAGATGACCACAGGTCAGGTGGTATATTGTGATATAAAATAATTCATATCGTGATAAATATTTTTTCCATATCGCCCAGCACTACTCCACAACTCAACTGTTGTTTGTTGCACTCAGGAGAGGCTGAATAATCCTAAATTTAAAATATAACCATTGATTCTCAATCAAAGTTATAATTTTACTCCTCTGGAGCAGTCTGAGTTAGTGATTGGTTTCCTTTTTGTGTTCAGGCCGATTCACTCGAAGCTGCTTTTTTGGACCAAATTAAAATCTGGAAGCAGCGAGCTTTACTTCTAAAATCTGGGCTTCATGCCGCGACATCATTTTGGAGTATTATGAAGACATGTCATGGTGCTCCTCCACCGCTGAAAATTTCATGAACGACCTCTTTCAAGCCAGCGAGGAAACATGCTTCAGCCAAAAGAGGGGCGGAAATAAAATCCCCACCAGGGCCGCCCTCACCCCCACTAGAATCCAGTGAATAAAGAATTAGAAATACGTCTGACTGATTTAGATTTTCGGGCCTTCTTCTGAGAGGGCGGGGCTTGGTAACACCACCACAGGAAAGCATTGCTCCAACGGCCAGGTTAAAATATAAGGATCTGAAATGATGATGATGGAATGATGTGTTGGGAAGGCTCTGCATAAATGAGGCTACAGAGAAAGGCGCGTACCTGCCTGCATTGCTTCCAGCATCAGGAGCTCATTCTTCCCTCCACAGCAACAACTTCACTCACAGTAATGAGAGAATACAGCAGGAAACTGATTTGTCCCGTTTGGCTTTTAGCCGTCTTTAATCTTTAACGTGGATTTAATATTCTTTTATCTTTCAGAAACGTTTTTATTGTGTAATAAAGCAGAAATCACAGGGATGTTTATGAGGCCTTTAAATGAGTAATATTTCATGGCAGCATCACTAAAAACAACAAAAATAACTTTGCTTGAACCTGACAGGTGGTAGTCTGACAGTTTATTCCTCAGATTATATCTCGACACCTAAAGCTCCCTCAGTTATTTGCTGGTGAAGGTGTTATGTAGGAAACATTAGCAGTTTTATTAGGTGATGATTTGTTGAAACAAAGATGCAGCACCGAGAGGAAAATGGCTGGTTGAGAGTAATCACTCACAGTCAGCAGTCTTTCGAGACGAGAGAAGAATATATAATGTTGCAAGCCCACAGGATTTGGAGCTGAGGAGAATAACAAACAGTCGAGCAAGCCGCGTGCAGTTCAGAAATATAAAGTCTTAAAAGAAACAAGCAGGAGCTGCAAGTAGGGAGAAAAAAGTCAACGCCGATCCACAGACTGTATATAAAAGACAGATGTAGTCCACGTGATGTTGCTCTGTGTTTTACGACGTCTCGCTGTGAAGCCTCAAGCTGAGTCTTTTTGTGCCTTTGAAAAGGGGACCTGACAAGTAAGGCTTACGTAAGCTTACGATGTAGCTAATGCAAAAACTTAAAGCTGCACTCTTTCCAATGACTCTAATAAAAATACTGCAGTGCAGATTCAGGCCGACACCTTCCAAACTAGCAAGGTGTAAAGACTTTGATGGACCACAAAACATAAAAGACTATAAATACAATAAACGCAAACAAAAAGAAAAACATTTCTGATTAAAACATGAAAGAACTCGACTCCACCAACCTAAGAAACGAAGCTAATTTCTTAGTTTCAGGTTGAGGGAAGGATTACATCCGTTTTCAGACGCTATCCGGGTCCAGGTCATGTGGGCAGCAGTCTTGCCTGAGATGCCCAGCATTGGAAATGCCTGAAACACCTCAGCTACGAGGTGTCCAGGAGGAGTCCTGGTTAGATGCCCAGTCTCAGGAGCTCTACTCCGAGTTCTTCCTGAATGACAGAGCTCCTCAGCCCCGTCTTTAAGGGAGAGCGCAGGCACCCTTGTGAGGAAGTCCTTTTCCATCACTTGTATGTTCGATCTCACTACACAGAGCTCATTGTTCATTGGTGAGGATAGGAATGTCATACCATGAATTGGGGGCTTGTCCGGGATTTGAACCCGGGACCTCTCACACCCCTAGCTAGAATCACAGCCCTAGACTTTACCACAATAGAAGGTAAAACATCCACATTACTCTCTCCATCAGTGTCCCGCTGTGTCCTCGCCTCATTCATGAACACGACGCAGAGATTTACATTTTAAAAACAGGCAGACGTCAGGCACTCGCATTTTTACTGTGAAACTGAGAAACTGTCTGCTTGCGATCTTTATTGTAAGTAGGGTAAAAAATAGCTGGTTTGGCAGCGGCGTGAGGTTGTGACACCACACAGCACGTTAGAAGATGCTTTCCCCGCCGGGGCGCTCGCCCTCTGCATTAAAACAATACCTGGAGACTTCTGTCTCATTCACTGTCAAGATAACTTCCCTCCTCCAGAGTTTCTGAAATCTCACTGCAGCAGCTGAGACCTCTCCGAGCGACGAGGTGTCTGCACGTATTCGTGCATAAAAAGCCTCTTTTATCTCCATTTGTATGTATGAGGGTGTGTGCGTGCTGCAGGTTGGTTGAGGGTGGGTGGTGCGGTGAGAGCCAGGGGATGCTGGGATTGTTTTTGAGTGCGCTCTATACCTCGCCGCCACCGCTGAGCTATAAACGGTTTGATTTCTGACGCTGCTTCTTTTTTTTTTTTCCTCAGTGTTTTATTATTCCACTCAGCAGTGTCGGCTGTAGGTGGAGAGGAATTCCCAAATAGGATTTCTGTGGCAGTGATTAGATTAGCTCTCAGGCGAGGTCATCAGTGCTGTTCTTTGTGTTATTGCTCATGGAGTTATCCGTGTCCAAAAACGAAATAGTAAAAGGTGAAGTCGGCCTCACTTTGCTCCTGAACATTTCTGCTGTGCAGGCTGCTGAACCTCTTCTCAGGCGGAAAATTAGATTAAATCAAAGGTTTGGATGTTTTTCCTCTGAAGTGAGATAAGATTTGGAATTTGAGGGAAGAACTTGGAAGGTTAGTCTTTAGTAGTGAGTTATTTGAGAGACGTTTTCAGCTCCTAAAAGCACCGTGATGTTGTCTGGTAGCTGTTTGTCCATGACCAGGTAAAACTGACTTCACTGGGGACACTGATGCTGGTGTTCCAGCAGTTTCCAGGTTACGTTAGCCTTAAGCCTTTTTAGTTCCTGGGTTGTTCCTGAACATCCTAACCAAATTCCTCTCGCCTGAGGGTGACAGTTTGCCCACATCTGGAAGCAGACCCAAAGTGGTGACATATGTGAATATTTATGTGCGGTCATTTAAATGGATGGCCTTTTAATCCTCAGTTATTCAGAAATATCTCCCAGAGACCCTCCCAGTCTGTGTAAATCTACAAGGAGTTCCTCAGATTTTCCCATTGTTCTCAGTGTTGGTCAGTCCAGTGAGTGCTGTCGAATCTTGTTTATGCTGCAAAGAGAAACTAGCACCTGTAGTCGATCATGAACACTAACGGGAAGCTAATAGGCCTCGGCCTTTTCAAGTTAAAGGATATAATTTCAGTACCACTTATAAAAAGCTGTGTATATATTTGACCCTGTGTGGATTCGAGGAAATAAATTCAAACTTGTGCACCCAGATTTGTTTTTATAGTCTTTAATGGTTTGTGCTGTTCAATGCTGCTTCATAGAAACCATTAAAATCCCAAAATCACCATGACATTCATGCCTGTGATGAGTGATGTAAACTTCTGTCCACAGCTGGATGTGTGCCTTGTTCTTCCTCTGAGTCTCTCTAATCTCTGCCGTCAGGATCCGTGTGGCCGGGATCAAAGGTCTGCAGGGCGTGGTGAGGAAGACGGTGAACGACGAGCTGCAGGCCATCATCTGGGAGCCACAGCACATGGACAAACTGATCCCATCCATGCTGTTCAACATGCAGGACAGTGAAGACCTGGACAGGTACGACACACGCCAAAGCTGCCACGCGCTCGCCTCAAACCGAAATCTCCCTGCCGTGCGTTGTTTTCCCGTGACTCATTATTCTCTGCCCTGAATATGGAACTGGAGCGATGGCTGTCTCTCAGGCAAATGTTTGATTTTCTGAAGTGAGAGCTGTTCTCTTTCAGAGGTGACCTTTTTTTAATGGGCCACACAGTAATGCACAAAAACTGCCAATCAATTATACATGCTGAGCTGCTGCTTTTCTCTCCAGGCAATCAGCAAAGTAAACTAGTTTTCCTGCAGCATCAAACTTTTCTGCACACGCGGGAATGAGTGTTATTGTTGTGCGGCCAGCTCTCATATCCCACAATTCAGCTGTCACCTTCACCAAAAAGTCTCCAATCAGACAGGATCTGCAAATCATGGGGAATGATTGAGGCCTCAGAGGTTTGAAGGCGCAGTGCGTCATAGCTGCAGGGCTCTCTCTTAATGATAGGGTGAGACGTTCGGGAAGGACTCGCAATAGAGCCGACACTCCTGCAGTGGAAGAAGCAAGATGAGGTGGTTCGGGCATCCACCTCCTGGGTGGGTGTTCCAGGAGGAGGCCCTGGGTTAGACCCAGTTAGGCTGTCCACTGTTAACTGAGAGGTTGAAGGATAATCAGGGCTTTTTTACTGCTTTGAATAAAGCACAGGTTCAAAACTTTGGCACAAGCTTGCAGACAAATAAATGCAGTGATCAGGAGCAGTTTGTTCCAGCTCAGCAGTCGCCAATCTAACAAAAACCTTCTCATCTGGAAAGGATGATGCATTCCTTAATTACATCTAAACTGGACGACTTCACTCCTGTGTTTGCAGCCTGGCACTGTTACAGAATCCAGTTTAAAGCGGCGCCGTTTGTGTTTAAAGCCGGTCTCTCACCTGCATGTGTGGTAGATACGCCGTGTCCACATATTCCCTCAATATCATTAAGGTCTGAATGTCCGTCAGTCGTCATCATCTTTGCTGTTGCTGCCTCTCTGGAATGACCTAAACAACCTCAGACGAACAACCTCAGCGACTGTTTCCAAACCTAAGCGTTTGGAAACGGCTGATTTCTGTGAAGGTGTGTACCGTCAGTTTTTTAGGAACAGGTTTATTCTGTTTTAGTGTAGCGCACTTTGGTTTTAAACGTTCTGTAGAAATCAAGTTTGCTTACTTGGCTCTCTTGACTGGGAATGCCCACGTGCCCCCACGGGTGAGCTGGGAAGAAGGAGGCCTGTGTATCTCTGATGAGGATGCTGCCCATGACCCTGCAGACAAGTCATTAGCTTTAAACTGGACTAAAAGTGGTGTTAAATGGTAAATGGACTGATTCTTATATAGCACTTTTCTAGTGTTAGACTTCAGCTCTAGACTAATCCACAGGATTTCTGACAGGTCTGGTTGCTTATCATTCAGTCGCCATCTTTTCCTCGTACATGTGTGCTTGAGGTGTTGAGCCACCTCATCCTCTGTTCACATCCTGCTGCTGTCTGCTGTGATCCTCGGGATGATTTTAAGCTGTCAAATCCACTCTGAGAACCAGCTGGACGACAACATTCGACAACACAGACTCCATCAAACCCGGCCAACACATGAAGCATGTCGTACCCATGTCAGGATTAAAGCGGCAGCGTCACCGTTTTTTACACGAGCTGTATCTGACACTATGCTTCCTGCTTTCTTTAGAGTTTAGAGAGGCTCATATTGAACCGGAGGGACAAACTGGTTTACGCCACAATTTTTGTTTCTCTAAGAAAACCGACGATACAGCTGTTTTTCATCTGCAAAGTGGGAGGAGCTAATTCAGGCTCTCCTGTTTGCAGCATTAGAGACTCCTGTAGAAAATTATCGTGTGACTCTGGAGCTGATACAAGCAACAGAGATTCAGACTCCAGATTCAATAATCAGTTGATAATTTTTGGTTCTGTGATATTTAAGATTCTGCTGCTTTCACACTGAGTGTTAATATTTATGCTTCATAGCAGTTTAACACAGCTCATTGTTCTGTCCGCGATACAGAGAATTTAATCATAAAATAAAATAAAAACAGCTAAAATATTAAATGATCTTCTCTCAGATTGGATTAACTAGACTCAAAGTATTTGTCTCACGGCTGCAGAACTGATCCTTAGTGTCACATTGTTATTGCTGCTGTTTGTAGTCCAAGTTAACAGGTGTCATCATCTGTCAACATCTGCCTTGTTGGTGTTAATGAAGCTTTCAAAGAAACTCTAGTCGGACTTATCTTTAATCAAATGAGTCTGTCTCCAGGTTAAAGCACGTCTCTGTAAAAGTAAAGTTTTTTCTGTTATTAATAATTTAACTGAAAAAACTGACAAAAAAACTGTCAAAATAAAGGAAATATAACAAAACCCAGAAAATGTTCACCAAACAAAAGACTAAATAAAAAATAAATAAAAAACTAAATCACCAAAAACCCCACCCTCCTCTCCACAGAGCAGGAGCACGACACACACCCCGGAAACAAAGGAGCGCTCTAGTAGGCCACACCCACACAGAGTCAACGTCACAGCAGCACAGAAACCTCACAGCTGTTGCAAGGTCTGTGTTTCCCAGTAATGTTGGACCTGATGAATAAAGTTAGTTGATGATTAATTCAATTCAGTTTTATTTACACAGCGCCAAATCACAACAACAATCGCCTCAAGGTGCTTTATCCTGTAAGGTAGAGCCTACAATAATACATACAGAGAAAAACCCAACAAACCCCCTGTGAAGGCGACTGTGGGAAGGAAAAACTCCCTTCTAACAGCAAGAATCAGGGAGGGGCGGGGCCATCTGCTGCGACCGGTTGAGGAGAAAGAAGGAAGACAGGATACAGACATGCTGTGGAAGAGAGACAGAGATTAATAACAAGTATGATTCAGTGCACAGAGGTCTAATTATTAATTATATTTTCATGCCGATATTACATCCACACTCGATAGACTCCACAGCGCCCCTGGTGGCTGATAATTTTCAGAGTAGGTGTTTGAAAAAAGACTCGACTGTGTGTGACTTTCAGGTGTAATTTCAGCAGGAGACACAAAACCACCAATCATGCAGCATTAAGAAAGACAGTGTAGAGAAGCTGAAAACATGATTTATGACCTCAGTCGGTCTATTGTTGAGTTCCAGATCAGGTTTTGTACAATTCACCACCTATAATCGAACATTTTTCGCAGAACTGTCTTTTGTGGCGTGCACATGAAGATGAAAGGTCAAAATCCTGACCGTGCTTTTAATTATAACCAGCGACATTAAAACCAGTTACCAGCTCTCAGGTGTATTTGTGCCAAAAATTCACCTGAAGCTCATTAATCAGCTGAAGAATCCAAAGACGGGATAAAAAAAGACGTGTCCTTCGTTACAAAGTGACAGGCAGAGAAAAAATACTTGAGTTAGTAAATGGAGCAGCGAGGGCAGGTTTTTATGAAAGGAAACAAATCTGTGCCTGCGTGTCACCTCATCATAACTCCATTTTCCCTCCAGCTTTTATTCCTTCCTAAACATTTCTCTTATCGTATCTGAGCAGAGTCCTGGGACAGAGCAAGATTTATTGCTTTCACAGTCTTTCATTCCTGCTCTCCTCCTCAATGTATTGTTGGGTAAACGTGGAAGAGTAGCGACTCTGAACCCTCACACGAGGAGTTTGGGAAGCGGTTTTGCTTTTGCAGAAATTGTTAGCATGATCTAATTCATTCAAGCTGATGAGGCGTGTGTGCAGGTTTTATAGATCATCGTCATTAGAGGCGTAATTTGATTTGGTATTTAGTGGGAAAGGAAGCATTCTCATCATGTTGTAATGCAAACGATACGCTGTCGTCATCTTCTGGGGCCTCATGAGTGTCGGATGGGGGCGTGCAGCACAATTTGTGTTGGATCTCAGATTGCGTTAGATTTCGGCCTTCAGTGATGTGTGAAAACTGTAATTACTCGGTTTCATATGTTGAAGGTAGGCGTGGGCAATATAACCTCAAAATTATATCAGCATGACATCATTGCATCGTTTATTCATTTAATAATGGTTTTGTAAATCATGCAAAAATATACCCAGGGTTAATATGGATGGTGTGTTATGGCGCAGTCCTAGTTGCAGGACTCCGGCTGGACTCTATCGGAGAGCCTTCATCTACTGGAAAGGTCCCGTCCGGCCATGAGCTGGGAGTGAACGCACAAGCATGAGTGCTGACAATGACGTCGACCGCTTACGTAGGTTACATCATCGCTCTACAGAGATTCAGCGCAGAAGTCTAAATCAGGCCTGAGAGTTTTTTCCACCACGCATGAACCAGTGTGACAAAGAAAGGGCTAAAAAGACCCAGAGCTCCCAGTTCATGCTGTTCTCAGTACTTTAGAGAAGAGAACCCCAACAATCAAGTGATCCCCGTGAAGAAGCACGTGGCAACTTTGGGGAGGAAGAACTCCCTTTTAATAGGAACACACCTCATTCAGAACAAGAGGATTTATTCAGTTTGACAGGAACTTGGACATGATAAGATTAACGTTGTAATACCAACCCAAAATATGACCGCTGGTCACGCTGAGCAACCGAAGGATCTTGGCTTGTGTTTGCTTGGTTGGTGCGTTTTCTTCTTCCTGCTTTCTAACAAACTCTGCCGGTTTTCTGTGTTTCTCGCTCTTCTTTGGACCTTTGACGTCTTTAATTCTGCCCGCAGCACGTGGAGAGTCAGAATCCAAAGTAAATCCTGCTGTTGGATCTGCCGTAAATCGCTCGGGATCATCAGGTCGGCCGACGGAATACAAACCTTCACCTGAACTCGAGCGGAGGAATTACCGCCTCCCACACACCTCAAACCTCATTTTATTCACTCAGCCCACAAATCCAGGCTTGTATCCAGGTGAAGGAGGAAATCCCGATGTCGTGCTGAGGAGCTTAGTTCTGCTCCTCATCCCCGGGCTGGGAGTGATGCTGTGCCTGCACTGCAAAGATCAACATGACCGAGCACAAAGATTAATTCTGGTGTCTTTGTC